CATAAAGAAATGGAGTGGGACCCAGGCTCGGCAAAACTCGGAGCGCAGTGAAAATCAGGGTCGGCAAAAACAGGCTCGGAGGTACTGGTGGTTTATAGAAAATTGGAGAACTGAGGCCGGGAAAAAAAAGAAGAGGAAGGGAGGCTCTCGAGCAGGTGTCCTTCATGACATGTTTTGGCGCGCAATAGGCTTTTGTAAAGTCAGCATGTAATGAGATAAAATCCCCGAGATTCACCGGGATATCTCCCCCTTGCTGGAGATTGACACGAGCCTTCTGCATCTACGTGATGGTATCGGCCAGGTGCGTTCGTCGGTGTGTCTGCACCTGGACGGTAAGCACGTTGTGTATTCAGAGATGCCCGGGTCTTTCTCAGGCAACAGGCAACAGTCCAGGTGTCTCTCTCTCTTGCTGACGAAACGTGAACGGTAAATACAAATGATTGTACTGTCCCTATTCCTGTTTCCTCCCTCCTTTTCCTAAATTTCCTTTTCTGTCTCTCTTTTCACCACTCAATTCTTTTCCCTTTCCCTTCATTCTCCCTTTCCTAAATTTCCCCTTTTCCTAGATTTCTCTTTTCCTTAAGTTTTCTAAAATTTCCTGAAATTTCCAATGTTTTCCTCGATTTTCCTTTTTTGCTCAATTTTCCTTAATTTTCCTATGTTTTCCTATGTTTTCCTATGCTTTCCTTTTCCTATATTTCCTAATTTTTTGCAGGTTTCCTTGTGATGCAGCGCGCTGATGGAGAAACAAGGACTGAAATCAATCTTTCCGATGAGTGATATTTCCGTCATGGGTTTAGTGGAATTGATCAAGTCCATTCCCAAGATCAAGGTGTGTGTGTGTGTGTGTGCGTGTGTGTGTGTGTGTGTGTGTGTGTGTGTGTGTGTACTCTCTCTCTCTCTCTCCTTTTTAGTGCTCTCTTTCTCTCTGTCTCTCTCTTCGTTTCTTCCTTCCATGCACTTCCGTCTTCCCTCTACCATCGAACACAAAGACACAAAGCACCCTGATCGTGAATGTGTATGAGCTTTTTTTTTCCCTTATTCGGATTTAATACCGTCGTGATGAGGGTGAGTCGTGTATAAGGGGGAAGATCCCAGCAATTTACTAAATATTGAAGAGACCTTGAAACTGACTGAATATTCTTCTTTTTTTTTTTGTAATAATTAAAATTTCATTCAAATTTGATTTATGTAAAAAAGTAAAAAGATACTCTCAATTCTGTAAAAAACAATGGCTGAACGCATGTGCTTGGTTGAAAAAAAAAAAAAAAACCTTAAAACAGGAACCGTCAACCCTGCCCAACTTGAAGCAAAAAACCAGTGAAAATTTTAACTAAACTACGATCAGCCTTCATATTGGCAAAAAAAAAAACAAACGTATTCCTAAACTTAGTGTGCCAAAACAATAAGAAATTAGTTCAAGAAGTACTAGAAAAGGTGCTAGTGTTAAAGATGCGCCTTGAGGTAATAAGGGCATATACTCACAAGGGGACCTAAAGTCACAAATATCTGGGGCGTTTTGTACCATGTATTTGTGCCTTTGGGTGCCCGTACGGTCACACATGAGTTCTGTGGCCACAAAGGACAGAGTCGCGGCCCTGACATTTGTGCTGCCTCACAGAACTGCACGTAGTCACACTGGTTACACCCAAAAATATATACTGTGCCTCTAGTGCGAGCGGCGTGTCTAGAGTGTATTTTCTGGTTGTGACAGACCTACCTTTGTTTCGGGGGTGTTTTGCTGGCTTGTGATGGGGTGTGAACCGACAGTCTGTAGAGTTTTCCATCTGGTGTGGGTGAGTGATAGTCTGCTTTGATTTT